AGAGGGCAGGAGACTCAGAGCTGGCCGCAGTTTGCGATGGTGACCTTCATGGAGGTCTTCCCGCCCTGGGAGCCATACTTCTCCACCGTCTTCACCACATCCATGCCATCCACCACCTGGCCGAACACCACGTGCTTCCCGTCCAGCCTGCGGAAGAGAGAACCAGGAAGGGTGAGGGAAGAGCAGACCCCGCCCGGGCTGAACGAGAGCCTGCCATGCTTGTGGCCGTCTCTGGTCTGCAGTATGCAGTACCGATTCTCCACCCTTGTTCCAATGAGAACATGTGTCCATCACCTTCCAGAGTACATATCTGACTTAAAAGGGGGGTAATTGAAGTCTTGCACCCTTAACATGCTGCGCTGATGTGTTAGCCACTTTCATGCTTCTGCACATTCCTGCAACTTGTACCCCACCCTAGCTCTACTTACTACTGGACAACCTTCCCAACACCAGACCTTGCTAGCATCTTGTACACAGCACAGTCCTTTTGCTTTTCTCAGATACATGGGATAGCTTCTCCACGCAGCAGCTCAGGTGCAGGAGGCAATTCTCACTTCATCCAGCCCCGACTGCACCAGCTCAGAAGTACCAACCACTTCCAGGAGCGGTTATTCACCGATACTCGCTTCCCAAACTCAAAATCCTTGTAAGTACGAGTCAAATGTCATTTACAAATGCCCCGCTGCAGCCTGGCAGAAGGCTCAACTATGGGGAAAGGGGGCAGGGACCCAGGAGTCTCACCAGGTAGTTTTAGCTGTGCAGATGAAGAACTGGGAGCCGTTGGTGTTCGGCCCTGCATTGGCCATGGAGAGAATTCCGGGGCCGGTGTGCTTCAGAGTGAAGTTCTCATCCGCAAATTTGTTCCCGTAGATGGATTTGCCTCCGGTTCCATTGTGGTTTGTGAAATCCCCGCCCTAAGGTGATGAAAGCAGGAACGGCATTACCAGACAAGCCTTTCCTGAATCTCTGTCCCAGCTACCTGCAAACACTTCAGAGCAGAAGACCACCCAATACAACCCCATCCCCCATGGCTTCTTGCTAAACAACCTTGCATAACAGACAAAAAAGAAACCACAGAAACGTAGCAATACTTGGATATGTAGAGGAACAGAATGAGGTGGGGGGGGGGGGATTAGATCAGAGCTAATGACTGGACCCATAAACCACTGCCCCAGCCCACAGAAGAAAGGCCTGATTGGCCACTACAAGCCCCACCCCCTGCCTTACCTGGCACATGAAGTCTGGGATGACACGGTGGAAGCTGGAGCCCTTGTAGCCGAAGCCCTTCTCACCAGTGCACAGGACGCGGAAGTTCTCTGCAAACGGAGCACATGGGTCAGCCACAGTACCCCCAAAACCCCGTCCACTGCAGCAGGCAGCCAGGCATGAAGCATTTAGGCTAACCCAAAGTCTGATCTGCTGGACGGTGGAGACTTCGGAACAGAGCATCATCATCTAACGCATAACTGCACTGCAGAAACGCTTAACAGAGCAGAACCCGCCCAATTGAATTAATCCAGAGGAAATTAAACCCTACATGCAAGTAATAATAATAATAATAATAATAATAATAATA